ACTTAATTACTCACTACTAACAATGAAACAAAATGAAAACAGAAACCCAGCTCTATGGGGGTTTTAAATGATATACAGAGACACTGATGTACATGAAGACGGTGATTCCTGAGTCTATGAATAGGGAGAGACCTGTCATTGACAGAGGAAGAAAACTAAACTTGTATGGCCTAAGATTTCATAGATACCAATTTGTTTTATATATCAGACATGGAACAAATGTTCCTGTTTTCTGAGAGTGTGGCGGAGATTTTAAAATATTATTCTAACTCATTTTGTTCAATACCTATAATAACTCCAAACATCAAACTAGATCTCTGTTTTCATCTTTCAAATAGGAATCATGTTGTTTATTATAATGTTCTTATAAGCTTGCACTGCTGGAATTATGAGTAAGCATGTCCTGCATGCTCCACAGGCAGGCAAAGGGACGGGGTGGGGAGGGGTGGGGGTTGGGAGGGAACACTTAGTACTCTAACAAAAAACGAAAACCAAAACCAAACAGAAAGCAGTAAAGCAGGGTTGCAGCTTTTAAACAAACCTGGAAGAGATACTCTAGGCAAATTCATGGAAGAACAAAGGAGGCTGATGTTTTGATGTTTGTATTTCTCTTTAATTATTCCAGCATAGGCTGTGGTACTCTGTTAGCAAGATTCTGCTCTAAAGAGAGTAGGCTGCCTTTGTCATGATGGTCAGCTACTATTTAATTAGAACAAGGTACCATTTTAGAGGCAGTTATTTCAAGCATTTAAAATATTTATATTTCAAGTCAAAAGTAGATTGGTCATTAAGTAGCACAAGAGAAATTAAAATTGAGTTCTGGGGAAGGAGAGATAGTGCAGAGGTTAAGAACATTGACTGTTCTTGCAGAAGACCCAGGTTCGACTCCCAGCACCCACATGGCAGCTAACATCTGTCCATAACTCCAGTTCCAGGGTATCTGACAGTCTCTTCTGTCCTCCGCAGGCATTGCATGACACGGGTGTACTTACCTACATGCTGGGAATACACACATACACATAAAATAAAAATAATAAATAGAATAGATAAATAAATAAAATTGAGTTTCATTTTTAAATTTAGTGGGCTTTTGTTAAGTATATTATCTTTGAAATTTATGCTATGTAGGACATGTGGATTAGTTAGCATAATTTTGAAGCACAGTTCATCACTGTAAGTGTTAGAGCAGAGTTGATGTCTTTGGAGAACTCTTCTAGGATCATCCTTCTATGGTCCTATTTCTATGCAAAAAGAATATTTTTCGATATCAGTAGCTGGCTCCCCAGTTCTTATCTCTGGGATATTGTCGTATTTCCCTCAAGGGAAAATTTTAGCAAAGGATTTTTTTTGGAACACACACACACACACACACACACACACACACACACACACACAGGAACTTCTTCAAGCTCATAGAATGAGTTGCTTGTTTTTCAATAAATGTAAATATAGAAGGATTTGTGCAAACTTTCATTTTATTAAGGAATGGTGATGATTTCTACCCTTGTAGCTACCTCATTTAGCCAGAAGAACCCAAAAGTTATGCATTATTCCATTTCCTAGGTTAGTTCTCAACAACTGTATTTGAGCAAGGAGCAACATCTCACAGAATTTGGAACACGTTCAGATACTACAGGAGTATAAATGCTGCAAAGTGAGTTAATCTGACCTTTGATAGCTTTCTGACCTAAGAAGTCTGCACTTTCTCTGATAGGCAAAATGCTGCATTTCTGTTGTAGAGGCTTAAAAAGAGATTCACAATTGCTTCATACTTAGAAAGGTAATTATGCAAAATGTGAAAGATAAAGTGGAGAAGTAGAAAATGAAGTCAAGAAGATAGTGGCAGGAGGCTTAGCAAACACAGTTGAAACCAAGAGAAAAAGTTGATTGTCATAAGCTGGTATTGCCAGACATTGATGACTAATTGGACATGGTAGTTTTGGAAAAAGTATGACCAGTGAGGTAAAGAGTGATGTAAAGAACTGAAGAACAGAATAAAACATCATGGGGAATCAGTAAGAGAAGCAGTAAATAGAAAACCTGGATTAGATATTTATCCCAGTAGAAATATATAACCATCATGTGTATATAAAAGTGGATATGAATGTACTAGAAATGGCATGTCTAAGACTTTCAAAGGAAAAGAGATTGGGCAAGTATGGAGAGCTTGCAAGGCTTGGCCACAGTGAGGATCTTGGCCTTGAGAAATCAGGCTCAGTGAGTCCAAAGACCAATAGGCAGGAACTCCAATAAGGACATTGTAGTATATGCAAGGGGCACTTTTTTCTTTTACTAGAAAGCTGTGTGACTTGCCTGGAAGCAGTTGTCTGTGGAGGAAGAGGAAGGAGATAGAAAATGAAAGAACTCAATTTAAAACTGAGTACCAATTCAGAAAACAGAATTCCAAATCAATAGTGACAGTTACTTTGAAGTAGCAAGATAATGAGTATATTTAAAACCCCTTTAATTACATGTGCATCTATGAGGAGGTGTGCACATGTAGAGATGCTCCCTGAGTCCAGAGACATCAAATCCCCCTGGAACTGGAGTTATAGGTGGTTGTGAGTGCTGGCAACCATACTCAGGTTCAATTAGTACGTGTTCTTAAGCACTGAGATGTATGTAGCTCAATAATGAGTGTTTTGATTTCTTTTCTCATAAGTATAAACGAGAACCTGAGAGCCAAGCTGGAATGTTTCTGAACACAGAAAGTTGACGTCTTTTCACTTCTAACTTTTGTTAAGATGTGGGCATTTAAACTTGCTACATTATTACTGGAAAAGGTTTCTTAGGAGACAGTATCTCTGTAAACTGTAGGAGTTAGGTAAATTATAATGGGATGGGAAATTCAAGGATGGGCTCCTGGCCATCTCATCAGCGGATCAGGTCTATTTTAATTCAGGGAGGGTGCACAGAACATTGAATTTGTAATAAGAATTCCTTCTCATAGAGGCATTTGAACATGCTTTTTCTTGGTCTTTGTTTTTCTCTTTAGCACAGTTATGTCTGCATTAACCTTACCCAGATAATAATTAAGTTTGTTACCTTCATTTTCTTTGGGTTTAATGCAGTCACAGGAGGATCTCAAGGAAAGCCCTACTAGTTAGATCTCTGATTATGTTCAAGATGGTCTGAAGGATAGGGCTTTAACAAATCCTATATCAGTTAAAAACTAAGTTAGCTTTTTGAGAGACACTTTAATGTGTTAATATGCTGTTTATTAGTGTTTCTTTGCTATTTTTCATACTTAAAACAAAGTGATGACCAGTTCCAGAGTAGCTTTAAAATTCATTGGGTTTGTATAACTAATCCAATCAAGTGTTTATAAGTAGCAAGATTTCAAAAATTAAAATAACTGAAAGTTCAACTGAATATGATTCTATTATTATATTTCATCATTTTCTATATTTAAAAATGACAGATAAAGAGTGCACTGAAAATTGACGGTTTGTATAAAATCATATCATTCAGAACACAAAATAAGCATAGTCAAAGCAAGGTTAATAGATAAAATTAGACTTGCTTGGGTAATCTGTGTTTTCAAATGTCATCTACTTCTAATTGCACAAATAGTATCATACATTCAGATTATACTGAATACATTGAATTAAAATATAATACAGACTTGATACTCAATAACATAAAGGGTTTGGAAATATATACATTTTGAATCCCAGCTTGGCCACTTAAATTTATATGTGAATTACCATTTTGAATAAATTATTTAACCTCTGGAGGCCTCAGTTACCTTATCAGTAAAATGGAGACTATAAGACAGATCTTGGAATTATTGTGAAGGGTATTAGTAAGGTTGATTTTGAGATTATCCAGCACACAGACTGCTACACTCATCCAACAGCAGCTATGGCACTGACAATGTTCTCACATATCCTTGAAGCAGTAGTCAAAACACAATCATTTTTGTGGATAAGAAGAAAGTTGAAAACTAAGGACAACTTGAAAAAGCGTCACTTTAAGTATCCTTCCACTCTAACAGTTTTGCAACAGCCTAGCCTACACCTTAGTGGCAACTGGAGAAGGGTGAATGGAGAGGAGTGTTGAATATGCCAATAAACTGCTCCTCTTTACAAGTCTCATAACTGAAAGCTCTGTCTACAGATTTTTCCAGATGACCTTGGAAATGTGGCAGTAGGGACAATGCTTTCCCTTCCTTTTGCACTACATAGGGCAAACCAGACAATGAAAACTGATTATAAATATAACATAGAAACCCTAATTGTTTGTACTATTCATTGTCCGTTTGCACATGCTTCCTATATTACAAGTTTTCAAATGACCTAAAAGGAAAACAAAAGGCCTGTAAATTCTCTAATGGGTTGTTAAGGAAGGTCAATTTTATGGACATCAAATTACTTGTACAATGTACACATATTCTTGCCTGACCTGAAGTAAAGGATAATTATGGTTTCTATGAAAACACTATTTACTTGTCCAATATGAGCAAAAATGTTAGCTGTGTTATGAAAACAATGTGGTTTTGCACTTCTTGTGTTGGCCCACACTTAGAATGCCAATGAGTCTATCTAAATATAGAGAAACAAACAAGAGTAAAGAGATTTTTGGAGGAATGCTCAGTTAGCCAGTACCATTTATTGTAACAGATAGAAGTCTAAACAAGAACAAATTGAAATTCACTTCAAACTACTGGACTAGGGAAGGCAATAAAAGAGACATACCTTACTTATAGAAGTGGAAAGTTTGCTGTTTAGTACTGATTACAAGGTAAGAGAAAATGAATATGCGGGTGGCATTGCAATCAGTGTCTAATTTTAAGTGCTCTTTGGAATACAATTCTAAAAATGGTAGGTGTTGCTTGATGAGTTTCAGAGGAAACTACCTATTGGTCTAAAACACCACATGTATATTTTCATACAAAGGTGAATTTACAAAGATGCACGTAACTTCTTTTGCTGGATTAAAATTCCAGGAAACAAATAAACATATTCAGAAACAACGATAAAACAGGGAAGTCATCTTACCTCCATCCAACTCCTCAGCTCCAAAATGATTCCTGTAGAAGAGCATGATTTCTATCTTGTAACATTTGTAGATGGTCACCAAACACACAAGCAGCAAGAGGATAGCACCAAGCCCTCCAGCAAGTTCAACGGTGTACATTAGCTCTAGAAATCAAAGAAGCAATGGAAAATTAAACAATACTCACATCTAAAAACCATGGATTCAATTTAATTTCATATTTTTGCAGATGATTCCCAATGTGAGTAATGGGTTACAACAATCTCTTTATGTTTGACAATTTTTTTTGTTTGCTTTTTAGGTTTTGAAATAGGATCTCACTGAGTATCCCAGGCAGGTCTTGAACTTGTGATTCTGCTACCTCAGCCTCCAAAGTTCTAGGATTGCAAGAATGTACCACCATGCTCACTTGCATGACAGTTTGACCTTTCTATAACATTCAATTCTGTTTCCTTAGTAACTGAATAAAATGACTACATTGTTTAGTAACAGTACTTATGGTAAAAATGAGTAATGGCTGATATCTTGCATTGGGACTCAAAAAATGTAAATACCTGGTTGGAAACTACAATCTTAGGTTTACCTCAGTGCAGCAACTGTTATATATATATATATAACCTCTGCAAGTTTCCTGTGAACTATGTTTTTACAAACGATAGAAGAAATGAAGTCTTAAGACAGGACAACTTTGTGATCACCCTATAAGGATCATAATCCTTTTCACCCAGACTGTTATCTGGGAGCTGGAGTCAAAGAGAAATGAGGGAATCAAATAGCAGAGCTCCTGGAGGGTACTGTAAACTGTTGCAGAGAGTGTTGGCAGAGCTTTCTAATACATGCTATCTGCTGACTCTTGCAAGAAGCAGTGACTTCTGACACACAAGGTATACTGCCATAATCTTAAATTTGAAAACAAGATTTTTACTTATTAATTTTATTATATATAATACATACACACATATGTATGTATGTATGCATGTATGTATTAGTGTATTGCTTGCATGTAGGTAGGTGCACCAGTGTCATGCAATGCCCAGGGAGGCTAGTAGAGGGCATCAGACTCCTTTGGGACTGGAGTTTTTGTTAGCCACCATGTAGGTGTTGGGATCCAACCCGGGTCTTCCGCAAAGGTAGTCCGTGCTACTAAACGCTGAGCCATCTCTCCAGCCCCAAGTTTTTTTTTTAAATTTAATTTATTTTATGTATATGTGTGTTTTGCCTGCATGTATATAAGTGCACCAAGTTCATGCAATGCCTATGGAGGCCAGAGAAGGTGCTGGATGGATCTCTTTGAACTGGAGTTATGGATGGTTGTTAGTCACCATTTGGGTGGTAGGAACTGAATCCAGGTCCTCTGCAAGAGCAGCCAGTTTTCTCTACCACTGAGCCATCTCTTCAGACATGCTTTCATAATCTTGAATGCTGAGGGCTTAATTGGGTTTAAGAAGTAGGTCTCCTGGTGGCTATCACAGCAAAATATGTTGGAAACATTTTTAAAAAATAAGTTATTGCATTTTAACATTTTTCTTTGTGTCCCTTTATATTATACTAGGCATGTTTCTACAAACATCTAAAAGAGGAATGTTTTCTCCTGTAGAGCATATAGACAATTGTAACAAGATGTAGGTTGTTTGCATGTAAATAGCAAATATATATATACATACACATATATATGCAGCCCCCCCTCGGCCAAACTCTGCTGCTGCCAGGAGATCATTGTGCACTGGTCCCAATAGAGGTAGGTCAGGGCGAGGAGAGACTGGTGGGGGGAGGGAGGCCTGGGGGGGCAAGTAGAAAGGGAAGAAAACACCTGGGAGGCTGTGTCAGTGGACAGCTCGTTTATTATGGCAGAAACAGGGGGTTATATAGGAAAGCTTCCTGGGAAAGAGGTGAGGTTGGGTTTTTGGGCAGGCTAGCAGGTAGGAGGAGGGAGGGGTTTCTAAGGCTACATGGCCTTTGTCCTGTCCTCCTGTCACATAATCTACAAGGGACCCAGTTAGGATTAAAGGATTAGAGCCTTAATAATTTTTCTTGGGGGTTGTTGGGTAAGCGACAGTGTATCTAGAATGGAGCAGGCCAGTTTCTTGCCATCCCTCACTAGGAGGTATCTGGCCTGGTGTTCATGCTCTACATTCCAGGCACTCCTGACTATCCCAACACACACACACACACACACACACCACACAAAATTTTTGTGTGTGTGTGTGTGTGTGTGTGTGTGAGAGAGAGAGAGAGAGAGAGAGAGAGAGAGAGAGAGAGAGATTGATTCACTTTGCCTAACTGCCTGGGTATGCATGCTGTCAGTGATTATCATAGTCTAAATGCTATCACTGATGATGACTAGGCATTGTTCACCATAGCTGACAGCTAATTTGAAAAATACTAGTTTCTTAACTCATTAAGTATACTCATTTTTTTGAAATTAATACACTAAAATAATGATGTTTTATATTTAGTAATTGAGTAACCATTTGCTCCATGTTAATTGAGAGTCAGTCATTGTAACCTTAGATCAAGAAATTTAAAATAGTTTTCTGATTTTGTAATAAGAAATATTCTTTTCTCACTTTTTATTGAGCATTTTAAGTGTCACATAACATTTCTCACTCAAACCCAGACCCCCTCTCCCAGCCATGCCTCTCCCTATACTGACCCCCCTATGCACTCTACCATAGATGCTGAGTCCTATTTATTGAGGTGTTTGTACCCAAATTCTTGTGTGACAAACAGATTCCCAAGTTCTCAAAAATGAGTAAAATAATGATGGAATTGAGTGCAATGAAAAGTAATTTGAAAAGTGTGATCATTGTTTTCTGACATTTGTGTGTATGTATGCTTGTATGTGATGTCATTCTTCTTGTAATGATTAAAAAATACCTCAGTCATAGGTCTCTGTATCTAGTATTTTATTTCTAATGTAACAGTTTAACAAAATAAGTATCTATAACTAGTGTTTAATTAACTGTATTTTTGTCACTTTTTTGAGACATGTGTGTTTGTATGTGTGTGTCTGTATGTGTATGTGTAGGTGAACAAAATTGGTTTTTATTTTTTTGCGGGGGGGTTGAGACAGGATTTCCCAGTAGCCCCAGCAGGTGGCCTGGAACTTTCTATGGAAAGCAGGCTGGCCTCTATCTCAAAGAAATCCACCTGTCATTGCCTCCCAAGTACTAGGATGAACTAAGGGCATGTGCCACCATGTCTAGCAATCAAATGTATTTTTCAGTACTTAGGAAACTAGATGAGAGACTGGGAAATATTTTTTAGTTTGACTCTATGAATTTAAGAATAAAAGAATTATTTTAGAGTAAGTAAACTAACAAGAAATATGGAATGATGAAAAAATAATTTCAGCATATTTGTCTGTGAAATCTTGTAAGGAATAGTGCAAGAGACTACTATAAAATACCAGGAACAAAATATAAAATGTTCTTCAGAACAATGATTCCCTCCTAGTATGGGAACAGAAGGGTTAAGTGGGTTAATAATATTGTGGGGTATACTGAGACATGTTCTCTCAGAAAACCAGATAAATTCTACCACACAGAGAAACCTAGATAAAGTATAATGCATGGCCATAGAATGATTTACATACCACACCATCCTGATTTAAAATACTCTGAACATTACAGGAGACATAAGTATTTAGACCATGACTTTTATTTGGTTCAGGGGACCAAACCCAGCACCTCATAGTAAGCAAATGCTCTACCACTGAAACACATCCTTAGTCCACATGGTGGCTTTTTAAAAGATTCTGCTTTCTCTTTTAGGAAATCAAGCACTTGCAATTTACAACTCTAAAATTTCTTACATAAGGAAAGATATTGGAAACTTATTAAGAGTATTTATTTCTTACTCTCAAACATTGCTAAATAAGGGAACACAATGGTATTCTGGAAAATGTGGGGTAGTTTCTAATAAAGTGAAATATAAAACATGTTTGGAGCACTCTTATTCATATTAAACATAAGTGGAAACAACCAAAGTTCCTTTAACAGGAGATGATAAATAAACCAGTGGATACCCATAAATAGACTCACTCAGCAAAAAAAAATTAATTGAAGATACACAACATGCAAAAATCTCATATTTTGTCAGGTAAAGGAAGCAAAACACAAAGTAATATTTAAGTACAAGAATAACCTAATAAAATCCTTCCACAGTGATATAACCAAGAAACTATTTTTTTCATCGGGAATAAATGAAGGAAAATGTTGTCAAAAAGGGAAAGAAACAACGTTTTTTTTGTCTTTTTGAGACAGGGTCTCCTTGTAGCCCCAGCTGGCCTGGAACCCACTATGTAGACCAGGCTGGCCTTGAACTCACAAAGATTCACCTGCCTCTGCCTCCTGAATGTTGGGATTAAAGGTGTACGCCACCACACTGGGCTAAGAAGCAAGTTTTAGGGGTAAAAAATATTTTTTATTTTGTTTTCAGTGTAAGGACATGAGTGTAAGCATTTCTCAAAACTTGTTGATCTGATCACTCAGGATTTATGAATTTTATCTTATGATAATCATTAATCAATTCATTAAAATTAAGATTGCTTGTACAAAGCTATTACACGTTCTGAATCAAGGCCTATTTGAAGACAAGCTCTTAAGAATTGCTGGAGCTAGAGTAGCTGCTCTGCTGTTGATAACTAGCCAAGTAGGGAAAAATTTTTGTATAGTACTGTCAACTATACTCTTCGCAGCTGGAGGCACAGCACTAGGCCCACGCTTGTGACATGCTGTAAGTGCCATGTCTAGTCAAATAGCTTTAGATACAACAACAACAACAACAAAAAAAAAACCCAAAAAACTAAAAACAAGAAAACAAGCCTGAAGTATGTTCTTAGTAATACAAGATAAAAGAGTGTCCTATCTTTAGATGGTATTCATAATTCTGGTCCCTATATATTTTCAAATAACTCATGTTTTTAGAAACTGAATATGAATAAAGTAGAGGAAAAGTTGTACAAAAGTAAATCAATTATATTTCTGGAGAAGTAATTGCCCAAATAATAATTATTCCCTTTGCTAGAAATCATACAGCTGAAATGATACATAATACCTTAAATATTCTATTTGTTGAGACGATCAGTAGTGTTGTGTAAAATGTAAAAAGAGAAAAGGGCAAGGTTGATGTAGCTTTGTAATTA